CACAAAAAGAGACCTGTGTTCTACTCAGATTTAGCTTCAATTGTAAACTAGCTTTGGAATGGTATAAAAATAGTTATGTGAAATTTTTGCCTAAAACAGAAAATCCTCCAAACTGCCCAGAATTAAGAGTTATTGCAAAGTATTGGGCCATTATTAAAAGAAAAATGAAAAAAATAAAAAAACTTTGCAGAAATATTAAAGATATTAAAATATCATTTAAAAAAACATTAAATGGCTTTAATTCTTATTCTGTACACAAGCATTTGGATTTCCACCAAAGCAAAAGTTCAAAAATTTATTAGATTCCCACAAGAATAATTCGATTTTTTTTTTTTATATTTGATCTTCTTATATTATTGTATTAAAGTTATTACTTGGTTGGAAATAAAAATTGAAGAGTACTTTTTTTTAGTTGTTTTTCTACTTTCACATTTATTTCGTGTACACGCTTTAATCAACAAGTTCTAGTTGAATACATCAAAATTCTTGAATTCATGCTTGCAAAACTATTTGATATGAATACAAAAATCGCATCTTTATTGCATTCAAATTTAAAAAAGCGCTTCGATGAAAAGAATACACGGGTTTATAGTCTCAGTTCCGCTCCGTAAATTATCACTAAATCGTTTAGTAAGATTAATATTTACTTTTCTAAATAATTTTGAAATGTTTACTTTTCTAAATAATTTTGGAAATGTTTACTTTTCTAAACAATTTTGGAAATGTTTACTTTTCTAAACAATTTTGGAAATGTTTACTTTTCTAAACAATTTTGGAAATGTTTACTTTTCTAAACAATTTTGGAAATGTTTACTTTTCTAAACAATTTTGGAAATGTTTACTTTTCTAAACAATTTTGGAAATGTTTACTTTTCTAAACAATTTTGGAAATGTTTACTTTTCTAAACAATTTTGGAAATGTTTACTTTTCTAAACAATTTTGGAAATGTTTACTTTTCTAAATAATTTTGAGAAACGGAGACTATAAATCCGTGTATTAACAGAAATGTTGTTGCAGTTGTTAAGGTGTTCCGTGCAGTTGTTAAGGTGTTCCGTTAAAAAATACTTTAAATTTTGCTGGAAAACTTATGTTTAGGCTTTTTTGATTTACTTTTAAAAATGAAGAACCACTACTAACTGAAGCACCATTTACAACATCGGAAACACCACCTATTTCTGTATGAATTAAACAAACTTTTCGCACTCAATAAAGATAACATCACACATTTGCCCAAATCAATTCAAATGGCCTGAGCAAGAGCTTTTGTTGTACCAAAATACGGGTAAAAGAACAGAAAATCTTGAAACGATTTATAATGCAATTTTCTCTATAAAGCCAACATCAACAGATGTCGCATTTTTTTTTTGCTGCACTAATTTCTGCACAAAAATTAGATCACGATTATCTGATGAATCGTTAAAATAAAAATAAGTCATTATAATTTTTATTTCAAAACGTAAATATAATATTCGAACAATCCAAGATAAACTTATATAAGTTTTATTATTTAACATGAAAAACCGAAAAATCTGTTAACCGCGGGTTTTTTTTTGATTAAAACCGAAACCGCGGTTTTTTATAAATGCGGTTTTTTAGAAACCTTAACTGATAGCTTGTCTTTAAATTTTTGAATAGAATTTTTATTAATTTTTCTTCTGTAAATTTTGGTCTTAGAATTGATATTTATTCTTGTATCTTGATTTATTGTTTAAATCACCTAGTCAAAATAGTTTTTTTGTTCTCTATTAGAATTAAGAAAGATATCTTCCAAATAATTTGATAACAGGTGGTTGGTAACAGGTAGAAATTAAAATATATTTTTAATTTTATTGTTGATGATTTCTGTTGCAAGGACCTCACAAGCGGATCAGAAATCGAAGGGTCTTTTCTTACTTTTATCGCTTGATCATTTCAAATATAAGTTGCAATTTACGAAGAACGATAATATCATTATTTTAGCTTATGTTATTATTATTTATTTTTGCGCAGTGTTAGGGGGTTTTTATTGTTTATTTTCTAGCCTTTAAAAAGATTTAAATTTGTTTTAAATTATGTTTTTAGCGTTATAATAAAAAAAAGATGTTTTATAGTCTGCAAAATACAATCTAAATAATAAAATAAAAATTTAATTGCTCACAAATTAGATTTTTTATACCTTTTTATAATAAATAAACATTCATATAGTAGGCATTAAGAGTCAGGTATAAATAATATCAGACTATTAATGCGTTATCTAATCTTCTATAATCTGTTCCCGCAAAATAAACCAAAAAATGAAAAGTCAGTAAAGTATGGAGAGGGAGGGGAGTTCAATTTAAAAATACGTACTTCGATTTTCTAATTTTTCACAATTAACCAGCTAGTCAATAGAAAAGTTAAAATTCTGACTAAATATCCTAGTTTGCAACCATAAAAAGATGTATTGTATAGGGAGTAGAAGGTATAGTTTCTCTTTATACACACACATGCATGGGCGCCCGCAGGATTTTTTGATGTTCCAGATAAACCACTTCCACACATTGTGCAAACTCCAAACTTAAATATGTTTATACCAATGTCATTTGAAGAGGCCTTGCAAAAAATTGTTATGGCGGTATCTGGGAACAAAAAAGCCCTCAAATGCTTGCATCCCCTTCCCTGCCCAAACGTGAGGACACTAATATAGTAAAATTCGCCTACCCCCTCCCCCAAAATAAATAAATAAGGGGCTGTACATTTTGCATCGACATAACTTTGTAATTGATAATATTTTTAAACGAAATTTAAATTCAGTCTATAAATTTGAATTTAGTTTTAGATCGTTAAGTTAAAAATTTTACTACATAAGTGCCCTCACGTTTGAGCAGGGGGGGCAAGCATTTCAGGGCTATTTGTTGACAGGTCTCCGCCTTCCCAATTTTTTAAAAGGTCTCCTCATTTGGTATAGATATAAACATACTTAAGTTTAGAGTTTGCACAATGTGTGAAAGTGTCCTATCTGTTACATCGAAAAATCATGCAGGCACCCTTATATACTGGCCCTGAGTATACTCAGGGCTAGTATATAAAGGGTGGCATGTGTGCATGCATGTGCAAAAAAAAGGTTGCCTATTTTTTGAGTCAACAAAAAACAGGTTTTAGCAGTGCAATGGCTCTCTCCTCATAAAACGGGGTCATTAGGGTCTCAAAATCTTCCAAATTTTACTGCTAGGTTTTGCTAAAATAAAATAGCAAAAGGGCATAAAATTTGCTGCTCCCCCACAACACCCCATCCCCTCTAATTACGGGGTATGAGTAGCCTACACTCGGCACTGGGTTTTAAGCTTTGTTTTCAATATTACTATTCTCGCGTGACTTGCTTTTTACGGACTTACTAAAGAGGGGTGCCTGAAAAAAACGTCTGCCTTAAGTATAGTTTATTTTTATTTGATGCGTCAAAAAAAAAAAAAAAAAAAAAGTATAAAAAGACTCTACTGGAAATCGAACTCCGGTCTGCCAATAACATTATTCACTCGGCTAAGCGATCTCTTCGACATTGCAAAATTTAAATTTATCTAAATTTATATTTGTATATATTTGATGTTGTTTTTGAAATTGGGATCCTTTCCCGCTAACAAAGGGCTTTGGGGTCGTATAAACACTTTATACGTTTTTCACCCCTCGCCAATTTATTATCTTTTTTAATATAAAAATTTATTGAAATAAAAAAGGTGTAGGAGATACCCTAGGGTATCGTCTCCACCTTTTTTTTTTTCAATGGGTAGGGGGGGGGGGTAAATGAAAACGTACGTACTTTTTAAGGGGGGTGGGGACTTGAAAGTACGCATAGCAACAGGAGGGGGAGGGGTGTCAAATTTCAGAATTTTTGGCCTACGTACTTTATGGACGACCCCTATCTTGAAATCAGTCATAACACGAAAAAATAACTAATGGAAAATGGTCAAACATCACTGAAATATATAACAAATATATATACAAATAATGGGATTAACAAAAACAAATTTGATATTATTAAAATGAACGAATAATACTTTAACAAACGCTCATGTTGATCTTGCACTTCTGAGGTAATTTCAAAATATTCTATAGATTGAATTAGCATAAAAAACTCTAAACTTATTAAAAATGTTATTTTCACAACAAACTGAACTTAAAGCACGGTTTAACCTAAATGGGAAAGACGATTAAACGATTACTCTTTTTATTAAGTCACCGAATATTCGTGACATCACTAGTAAAAATTGAAGTTGAAAAATGGCCTAAAATTATCTTATATGATCATTTTAACCGATCTTAAAATATTTTTATGGCATTACATCTTTCTAATATATTATTTCAAAAAAGAAAACTGAAAATAAAACGGCAGGTAATCTGGAATGAAAGAAAAATGCTTAAAAAATAAGAACGTTAGTGAAAGATAGTAAGGCTAGAAATTCAAAACGAAATTAAAACTTTTTTATCAAAAAATAAAACTTTTGATATAAAACGCAATTAAACTAATGTACAAATTAACAAATATTAACAAACAAAAAAAGTACTTTATTAAAAAAGAATTTTGATTAAACAGGGCTGACGATGCAAATTTCAAACTGTGGCAAAGCAAGTAATTTTCTAAAATTTGTGTCGACTATCAGCAAAATATTATTTAACGTTGGTTTTTAAAAAACATTTTAATACCATCTTTCAAAATAGCCTAATATATATATATATATATATATATATATATATATATATATATATATATATATATATATATATATATATATATATATATATATATATATATATATATATATATATATATATATATATATATATATATATATATATATATGTATATATATATATATATATATATATATATATATATATATATATATATATATATATATATATATATATATATATATATATATATATATATATATATATATATATATATATATATATATATATATATATATATATATATATATATATATATAAATCAAGGTACAAACAAAATTTCTTTAGAATAAAAAGTTATTCAAAAATGTTAAAAATAGAATATTTAAGCCGCCAACACCTCGGCATCGTCAGCCCCATAAACATATTAAAGAATATAAACAATTTATATAAAGTTTTCTATCAATACAACATCAGCAATATTATAAGCCATTAAATTTTTTTAAATGTTATAAATTTAAAAAAACAAACTAAATCTTAACTAATGTAAAAAAATGTACACATTCTTACTTTTCACATTAAATCCCTATAAAAAATTTAGGGAAAAAAGAAAAAGCTTATAAATAGCTTAATATTCTACAAAGCATAATAATTTCAAATATAAACATATGTATAAATAAAGAATAAATATGACAAGGTCGCAGTTTAAAATAAATAATAAAATAGAAGATAAATAAGATATTTGATAACTTTAGGATCTGATATATAAAAAAAGAAAAATTAATATAATAATACTAAAATATATAAAATGTAAAAAACAAAAAACTATAGCACTGCATTAGAAATTCCGCTATCTTTGTCATACAGAAACGGACTTCTTTCGCTTTTATGACCAACGTAATACATGTCGTCCAGTTCATTGTCACTGTCAAGCGGTATGTCAAGCATATAAAGTGGATTGTAATAATCTTCTTCAATTTCGTCATCAAGCCCCATTGCAGCTATGACGTCATAATAAGGATTTTCAAAAGAATAAGCATGTCCTTTTCCATTAACGAGACATGATTTTAGTTCAATATCATTTGATTCACGCCTAACTTTTTCAAAGGGAGAAGATTGAACTTTTCGTCGATAAAGTATTATGATTCCAAAAAAAAAAAGTATAGCTGTGAACACACCTAAAATAAAATAGGTTGTCATTTTTCTTTTGATTATGGAAATTTTTTTTAAAAAAATTCAAGTTAAAAAAATTCTCACTTAAAATGACTGAAGCCAGATACACAGTTTTAGTATACCAAAGTTCTTCTTGCCTTTTTAAAGACGCCTCTCCTACGTAATATTCAAAGTTAAGTACTGCTGAGAATGCATTTATTCCTATGAAAGAAATTACATCTAAAATAAATGATGCATTGACAGGTTGAGTCTTTTTTAAAAGAGTAAAAGTAAGTCCTGTTATTTCTTCACTTTCAATAAACATAGCAAAAACACTGTAGATCCTCATTACATATAAAGAACTGTTTTCAGTATTTACACTATCAAACATTTGATCACCTCCAACACTGGAGCAAGTAGATATATGAGAAATGTTTATTGAAGGAGAATTTAAAGTTGACGTGTTTAGCAAAAGTTTTTCTAACCGCTCAAAGCAATAGTACATCAATTTTTCAAAATTTCTCTGTATTTCTCTCTGTAAACTAATTTCTAAGAAAAGTTGAGAAGGTGCCCGGAGTTTGATTGTTACAAGATATAAATCAGATTTATAACATTGGCCGTTAACGTTGTTGCATATTTCATTTATCTTACAATTACATTCTTGCTTACACATATAACCAAAATGTGACCAATCACAGTATTCTAAACAATCTTTACTTGTGAATAAGTTAGGGCAAGAGCAATTGCTATAACGTTTATCACAAGCAGTATTGTTATTATAGTAACAAACAGGACAAACATCATTGCATTTATTGCCAAGAAATCCATTATCACATTCCTTTAAAAAAAAACAAATAAAATAAATAAAATAAAAAAAGAGAAGCTATTGTTAATGTCATAACAAAAACACAAGAAACCTTTTCGCATTTAATTCCTATAAAGCCATTTTTACAATAGCAAAAACCATCAACACTATCACACTCTTGTGTATTTGAGGCTACACATCTGCAGTTACTTGAACAATTCTTTCCATATTTTCCTTGTGCGCATTTAGACTCACAAAACTTACCAGCAAATCCTGGAGTACAGGAACAGTGACCATCAACACTTAAATAAAAATGATCAAACAAGATACATTTTATTAATTTTTTTATTTAATAAATAAAAAAGGGGATCTGTTATGGTACAAACAAAGCTAACGTGCTTGCTATTTAAGTTCTATTTTAAAAGCTAATGCTATTTCAATTCTAGTATACTTAAAAAAATTCTCTAAAAGAAATTTAGTAAATAATTAAATACTAAAACACTTTAAACAAATTTTTTCATAATTTTTTTTTCGTATTAATTTGAAGTGATTTTGTAATTGTAACTATTTAGGTGGTAGTTGTCATGAAGAATTAGTTTATTTTAAGGCAGGTAAAAGGCTGCTGCAATTGGCAAAAAGAATATATTACTAAATCACCAAAAGCATTAAAACAAATATGTGTGCCTAATAAATATGCATATTTGTATATATTTTTTACTGTATTCACGTCACCAAGGAAGTGAATACAGTAAAACATTCCCTGGGGGCAACTACAATTTTTTTTTAAATTGTTGTTAAAAATCTCTATCTATCTTTTATTTTCAGAAAAACAAGACTTGACAACCAAGGCTGCTGTGGGGAGAAAAACAAATCTTGATAACTAATGCTGTGGCGCAGTGAAAAACAAGCCTTGACAATCAAAGCTGCTGTGCAGAGAAAAACAAGTTTTGACAACAAAGTCTGCAGTGCAGAGAAACATGTTGAGCACAGTACTACCACACTGAGACCAGGCCCAACCATGTTTAATGGAATGTGGGCTTTTTAAAATGATATTGCAATATTTCAATATTCAATAAACCACTTTCACTTGCTAAGAGTAAAAAAATCTTTAAAACTCTGACTTCCGAAAAAACGAGGGGGTTATTAATTTTGCATTATTAAAACTTCTAAATGTCAAAGTAATTTTTTTTTAAACTTAGAATCTATTGATGAACATTTAGTTTAATACACTGCAAATGTGTTTCTTAAAAAATCCATCTACCACAAGTGGACACGGATGTCTCAATTTCAAGTTTTTATTAATCCCTGTGCTCAAATTTTTTCTAAAACATCTTTATTTTACAATATAATAAATTTCTATAACATTAAGTATTATAATCATTTAATTCAAGAAGAAAACAATATTTTTATTTTAATATACTTTTTAATATTTCGCTGATCCATTGTGATTAACATCATCAGGTATTATAAATAAAAATTGTATTAAAAAAAAAAAAGATTTTTATTTATTATACCTGATGACAAGAAATATTGTACCTGATTTCAAAAAGAAAACAATATATATTAAAATAAAAACAAAAATATACATTTTAAAAAAAGTTTATATGCAGCCGTATTTATTTGAATCTTTATCTAACAAACATCTAGTGTCTGACCGTTTTTTTATTAATAATAATATTAACCTCAACAAGACCGTGAGGGCCCCTTCAGTCGAGGAAGCTACTTTAATGTGGTTACAACCCTCTCTCAACTCTTTAACTTCGAAACACGAACTTTGAAGAATAAGGCCGCTGTGCGCAGAAACAAGTCAAGCACATTACTACCAGAGATGTGGTGGGAATCAAACTTGGAATTTCTAGCTTATAAAATGAGCGCTCTACTAATACACCACTCTACCACTACACTGTTCTACCGCATAAAACTTGAGTCTAACAATTCACTGACAATGACACTGATTTTAATGTTCTCATTGCTGAGTTGTTAACCATTAAAACACTGATTTTGATATTCTCATTATACTGCTGAGTTGTTAACCATTATAACAGAAAACTTATATCATGCATTAAATAGAAGTGTTGAGGGCTATTGCTCTTGACATATCCAAAGTTTTTAATAAAGCTTAACATGGTATTCTTCTCCATTTTGATCTGGGAAAATTTTTAAAATTTTTGAAACATTCCTTTCTAATTGTTAATTATATAATAAATAATAAATGAAAAATTTCTTTTCTGTTTGCTAATTATATAATAAATAATAAATGTTATTTACTAATTTTTTTTAATGCTCTTACCTCTTGTTGTTGTATCTTTCATTTACGTTTATCCCTTGGTTGTATTATTTGATAAACAAAAGATTATATACTCTAGCCTTGACAAAAAATCATCATTTTTTGATTGCTAAGAATATGTAGTTGATCTTGAATTTGATCTCTAATCTGTGACAGCTTAGGGTTTGCAGGGACTGGTGAATTTTACTCTTGCAAAACTAAGCTGTTTAGTGCTAATAATGATTGCTATATTGTTAGTATTTCTACATTGATGAATAACAACACAATTCTTACTGAGTCTTCTACTTTAAGTCTTTTTGGATTATCATTCATTACTGACTTCTGTTTTTTCTGTTTCCACTTTCTACCTCTACAAATCTGTTATTCATGCCCTAAAAACTTTTATTTTTTATTTTTCTAATTTTTCTTATTTCAATTCCATTTTTTACATGTATGAACCTCTTATATACCCTTGTAAAGAATACTGTAGTTATATTTAAGGTTCTCCTAATGTTCTCTCTTTTAGATAAAGTCTAAAATCATATTGTGATTGTTGTTGAACCTGCTTTAGCTGCTAAGTTTGAGCTTCTATCCTATTGTCATAAGATTGTATTTCTTTCTCTCTTTCATAAATACAAAGCTTTGTTGCTGTTCAAGGCAGTTATCACCACTTGTTCCATAAACCAAAACTCTCTCAGTCACATCCTTTTACTGTAACTGTTTCTTCATGTTAAAAATTTTGATTTATCTAACTTTTTTCTTTAAACAACAGTACTTTAGGAATCCACTCCCATCTTTATGTTTTTGTGACTCATAAAATTTATAGTATCTTCCTCCATTAATTCTTCTGTCAACCACTTTTTTGCTATTAAATTTATTTTATTTTCTTGTATCTCCCAATTTAATTAGTCATTGCTTACAGCTTAGTTGGGAGTAAATTTGTTAAAAAATAAAATAAAAAAATCTGTGCAAACTTATTTGCCATTAAATGCATTGAAATAAATATTTTATAAAGAAATAATCATAAAGCATGAACATACAACATTACATGTTGCCAGGATATAATTAAATAACCATCAAAATCAGTGGTCCCTTTACAATATAAATACAACAACATGAAACTTCAAATTTTTAACTGATTAAAATTATAGCCTCAAATTTTCATTAGAAATGCTTTGATGCTGTTTTGATATGCCATAAACAGAAAAATAAACAACCCAATTATTTCAAGATGCCTTATTCTTATAAAAAATAAAAACATTTTTTGTATTTCTTATTTTTAGCATTAAGTTTTTAATTTAAATATATCATAAAAAACTTCAAAACTTAATGCTTTATTTTGGAAAAGATTACTACATCTGTCCAATAACATCCATGGAGTAGTGAAATAACATCCGCACATTTTTGTGTAAGATCATCCGCTTTTTTTCTTTACTGAATTAACATCTGTGCAACAACATCCAAAATTTTATTGATGTCTAATAACATCTTTAGAAAGATGTAACTACATCCGAGAGTTTTTCTCAATGTGTAACTACATCTGCCTAAAATAATGCATTATTATATAAAATAAATTTCCGGACATAGTTACATCTGAATCAGATGTGTAATTACATCTGGTTAAAATAATGCATTTTTAAATTATTTTTTTGCCAGATGTAGTTAAATCCGAAAAAAATCAGATGTGTAACAACATCTGGTGAAAATAATGCATTTAAAAAAAAAAAAAAAAATTCCGGATGTAGTTACATATATAAGTTACATATATAATTTTTATATTATATAAGTGCTGCTACATTGACTGACAAATAGCCTGACTCGCAACAGAGTGCTGCTACATCGACTGAGGGTTTGGTTTGGGCAGGCAGTCTATCAAATAATTAAAAGAAAAAAAATTATTATGCTAAAAACAATGCATTATAATATTTTTTTTTGGCGGATGTAGTTTTATCTGAAAAAGTCAGATGTGTAACTACATCTGGTTAAAATAATGCATTATTAAAAAACATTTTTTTTTGGATGTAGTTACATCTGAAAAATCTACAGTTGTAGTTGCACGGATGTTATTATACATCAATGAAATTTGGGATGTTATTGCACGACTGTTATTATACATCAATGAAATGTTGTTGCACGGATGTTGTTGCACGGATGTTATTATACATCGATGAAATTTTGGATGTTGTTTCACGGATGTTATTATACATGGCAAAAACGGATGTTATTGCCTTGACCCCTTTATTTTTCCATATACACATAATTTTCAAAAGTTATTTTACTAAAAAAAATGTAAAAACAATACATATTAATATATTTTATAAAAAAAAGAGAAAAATATTAAATAATATATTACTTATTGCAATCTCCGTTATTTTTACATTGACACTTTTGCTTGCAATCCACACCATACATTCCTTTGCTACATGGTATTTCACAATAACTGCCATGATAACCAGGAGCACAGTAACAGAAACCATCTTCATGATCACATTTAGCATTGTTATAGCAATGGCAAGATTCATAACAGTTTTTACCCCAATATCCTTCTTTGCAAGTTTCATTGCATGACACACCAGTGTACCCTAATAAATCAAAGTTTTAAAACTTTTGCAAACCAAAAGCTCAGTCTAGTTTGGTTTTTTACTTCCAAATATTTTTTTTTTCTACTAAAAGCTCAGTCTGGTTTAAGTCTATGGTCCTACACTGAACTAGACTCCGTTTCTGGTTGATCAAATTTAAAAATACAGCTAAAATATTTTATTTATATAAAAAAAAAAAAAAAATACCAAATCTTGTGAAGCAAATTTTTAACATTTAATAATATTAAATATATTTTAAAATATATCTTGTAAAAATGTAAAAAGTTTTATTTGCTTGTTTTAAATTATAATAATTATAAGTTAATTAAAAAAATGATTTTAGATGTGTGAGAATTTGAAAATTTGATAATTTACAAGACTCTAAATAATCACCTGGGTGACATTTGCAGTATCCACCAACTGTTTCACAAACTTCTGTATTCTTCTTTTCACAATTACATCTTAAGCTGCAATTTTTTCCATAATATCCCTCATTACATTGTTCATCACAGTTTGTTCCACTAAAGCCATCGATACAAATGCATTTTCCATTAACTGCATCACAAGAAACAGCATTTTTACAATTGCAAAGATTACGGCACTGGTAACCCCATGACATTGGTAAGTAATTTTCACATGATTCTTCACATCTAAGTGAACATATAAAGTTTAGGTTACCATACTAAAATTTTTAGTGAAATAAAAAAAAACTCAAAAAGAAAAATAAGAACGATAAAAACTTTTAAATGAACCTAAAACAAACATTACAACCTTTCTCCTTTATATCCTAATTTACATATACATTCTCCTGTACGCTTGTCACATTTTTCAGTATTTTTATCACAATCACACAACTGCATGCAATTATTTCCAAACTTTCCCTCAGCACATTCTATATCACAAAATGAGCCTGTTAATCCAGGAAAACATGTGTATTGACCTGTAATATGATCACAAATTGAGTTTTTTATTGGTAGACAATATTCAGAGCAGTTTTCACCCCATTTATTTGAAGGGCAAGTATGTTCACAATATGGTCCATAATACCCAGGGGTGCAAGTACAAACTCCATTTATTGTATTGCAAGTACCACCATTCCTACAGTTACATCTACAAAAAAAGTATTTAAAAGAAATAAAGAAAGTCAAACAATTGTAAAAAAAATTATAATTATTATACTTTTGACTACAATTTCTGCCAAAATATCCATTTTCACAAGATAAAGAACATTGATTGCCCATCCAACCTTCTTTGCAAAAGCATTCCCCATTTATATGGTCACACAGCATACTTTCACTACAATTACAACTATATAAACAGTTTTGACCAAAGCTGTTTTTAAGGCACTTTTCATTGCAATCATTACCATGGAAACCAGGCTCACATAGACAACTGCCATTAACAGGATTGCAATACTCATTCTCAGGACAATTGCAAGATGAACCACAGTTTACTCCATATTTTCCTGTATAATATTAAAAAGAAAATTTGTGAATTAATTTTATTGCAGCATTTTTTTTTCAATTACTATGTATTGAATTACTTATTGTATATTTTTACTCTATTCTTTGAAATATTATATAAATTTATATACCTATATATACATTTGCATATATGTAAGGTAATAATATAATATATGTAATATATATTACAATGTTTCACTTGTGAAGGGGATAGAACTTCTCACTTTTGAAGTAAGAAGTACTGAGTTTGACTGCCACCACAACCCTGTTAGAGTAGTAACCCTGTACTACCATGCCTAACTTTTATCTTTAAACAGCAACCTTGGCCTTGATGAAGGTAACAATCTTCATCAGGACTCAACAAAAAATTGGCTGCCCTATGAATGGCAAATGATTATCAGAAATAATTATTTACAAATGCATTGTTTCCTCACAAAATAACCCTGATAAGCAATATATTGGCTATATATAGGGCAACCACAAACAATCTTTTACACATAAAAAATACTCAAAACAGACTATTCTGTCAAAATATATTTGCCAATTAAATGAAAAAAATATTAATTTTTAATTAAACTGGTCAATTCTAAAAACTGCACCTGCCTACAACAACATTTCCAAATATATATATATATATATATATATATATATATATATATATATATATATATATATATATATATATATATATATATATATATATATATATATATATATATATATATATATATATATATATATATATATATATATATGTATATATATATATATATATATATATATATATATATATATATATATATATATATATATATATATATATATATATATATATATATATATATATATGTTCTTTTCTGCATAACTTGCAAACAATATCAAACAATGAAAAGATTAACAGCTCCTCGCATAGTATATATAGTACCCTGAGTGTCATTTTATAGACTTAATGGTTTCTTCTGCATCTTCAAAGTCAATCAATTTAAACTTTCTCATCAAAGACAAGCAAATCATTAGCTGGAGCAGTAATAACAGCAGCAGGCAAAAAGTACTTTCTGTAAAAAAGACAGATGAACTCTAAACCTTTTTTTCTTCTTCATTAGGCTGAAAAGTACGAGAGAAGGAATATTTTTAGATACTAAATGGCTTTTGACATCTATCTTGAGTTATTATCAGAATGGGCATATTAAATAAGAAAACTTCTTTTAATATGTTCACCAAGAAAAAAACAAAAAACAAAAAAAACAAAACAGAATAAGCTCTACCAGTTCGTAATAGTCCTAACAAGGAAAAATTTTTCAAAGACCAATTAGCTTCTTATCTAGAATTGTAGCCTCATTATATGCTCCATTATTGCTTTCAGCCAGTTCTGTTAGCAATTTTAGAATTTTAATTAAGATATAGTTTTCTGTTTTATTCTTTCCAGTTTTCATGAATTTTTTTAGAATCTCATATTTAGATATCAAATGAACAAACTGATCAACATAGACCTTTCAGCTAGACAAGCAGATAACCAAATATTTTTACTGATAACTTCAATTAGATCATTTGCAGCCACTCTTTTTTTTTTTTTTTCTCAAATCTTTTTAGATCTCTCAAAATGATTTTAGATTTCTCAAAAAGATATTTTTGCAATAAAGATCTATTCAAATGTAGCATTCTTGCTTAAAAGTCTAAAAAAATAACTAACAATCTCATGATTCAAACAAGAAGAACATTTGTTTTTTTTTTTTTTAACTGCAATATTCTTATTTATAGCTAAAACTGAAATATGTATTGGATTCAATAATTTCCTGATCTAAGTACTATCAGAGTACTGTCAGAAGAGTCAGAGTACTTTCTTTCTGTTTTACAGAAGAAACAGTACTCTTTTAAAATATTTTAGTAAGAAACAGTAATCTGTTAATAAAAGTCAATGAATAAGATTTGTTAATAAAAGACAGTACATTGTTAATAAAAGTAATTTAGTAGTAGTTTAAAACAAATCTTTAGTGAGATTAAAACAAATTATCATAAATTAAAAAAATTCTGCATAATTATTCCTAAGTCATTGATAAAAAAATTGTGCAAACCCTACTGAGAAAAAATAGCAACTGTGTGAAAATGTTGCACAACACTTGTGCAACTTGTTACTTAAAACTTCTATGTTTAATGGGTGATCTAAAAATAGTCCTAAATTGGTAATTTTTGGTTTTATATTATTTAAAATAATTTAAAAAGTTTAAAATGGACCACCCTAAAGTACATTAACTAAAGCAGCCAACCTAATGTACATCAACTAAAAAAATAATGAAAACTTTTTCTTTTTATAAAAGTTATTAAACTAATTTTTCTTATATTATATTTTACAAAAATTTAATATTAATAAAATAAAGGAAATAAGCAATACTAATATCTCACTATAAAGATGTTCTTTCATTTTTAGTATTTTATGAACTCATTTTATAAATAATTATATTTACCTTACCTTTTGGACAAACAGCTTGGCAGTATACTCCATGAAATCCTGGTAAGCAGATGCAAATTATACTTTTACTATTCTCATTACATACTCCTCCATTGAGACAAGGGTTTGAAGAACAACCAACAAACTGACATAAATTACCATGAAAACCTTCATTGCATAAACAAACTGATTGATTATTAGCTGTTAAAAAATTAGAAAATATTTTTAAAACTATTTAAAAAAAATTATTTCTAATAGAAAATGAAGATTAATTTACAGTATTTCATTATAAAGAAAATAACTTAAATATAGGTCAAAAGGCATGGTTTCATATTTATACTATGTATCAGTCTTAAAAAAAAATTGAAATATTTTAGTTAACATACATGGATCAATTTGACATCTAGAATTAATATTTTCACACTCTCCACTTCCTTGACATACTTCTTGTCTTGGTTTTGATATTATTATTGGACAAGTGCCATTTGTTTTGTAATAACCATACAACTCAGTACGTAAACAAATAAATTGATCTCTTGTAGTATTTGAAGGATATACACGAATTGATTTAGCAACAAGTACAAAATCAAAAATATGCTCAACAATCAAGTTTGAAACTTAAAAAAAAATTAAGAAACTATTTTAAAATTTGCATTTATAGACAAATTTTGTTTTATGCACTTTATAGATGATAGTAATTGATAATGACAATGATAGGTAGTAATAGTATTTTTGATTCACAAAACCGATTTGTTATATTAAAAAAAAGCAAAAAAATATTAGACAATTGATCACTAATACACAGCTTAAGATGTTTTTGATCATAGTCTAATAGTATATGATATCACATGTTTTATCATAAATTTACTATGTACAGCACCCTAAAGTTAAAATGGGAAATATAGCATCATAGCATCGTAAATTTTAAAAATAGGAAATTTTAGTCTTGGCAGCTAAAGTTCTTAGCTAAACTTTCCTATTTTTAAATTTTTTAATTTTAAATAATATAATATTAAAAAAGCTGCAAAATGTAATTTTAAGTAATAAAATAAATAAAAATAAGAATTTAAAACTTAATAAACTAAAACTTTGAAGAAAAAAATGCTTAAGTAACAACAGAAAATTAATAAAGTAAGCTTTATATTTTTTTAATAACTGAATCAACCTAGCTAAGCTTGCTACGAATGATTTTTTTATTTTTTTATTTTAATAAAATGTTTTTAATCAATTTTATTTGTTACTTTGTTTTTTTTTTTATTTGTTTTTTTTGAGATAAGTTAAAAACTTCTGACTTAGAAAAAAATTATTAAATTAAAAAATCACATTGAAGGTATAGTATAAATGTTATTATATACATTTATCTATTTTTGCATGCCTAAACTTTTAGCAAGTTGCCAACACTTTTAGAAATTCGCTTCGGCTTCTGTATGCTATAGTAAAGCAAACATAAGTCCTTGTGTTAGCATTTCCGAATATCAACCCAGATTTCAAAGGCTGGACTTGAGTTTATGATTTTATTTAAACTTTGGGTCTATATACTTACAGGGTTATGCAAAATTATAAAGTGCTTTATGCAAAATTATAAATTGTTTTATGCAAAATTATAAAGTGCTTTATGCAAAATTATAAAGTGCTTTATGCAAAATTATAAATTGCTTTATGCAAAATTATAAAGTGCTTTATGCAAAATTTCGAATCATTTAATAAATCCATTTAAAGCATAAAAAAGTTCGAATATATGATTTATTTATATATAAGCTCATGTCATTTAACATTTAGACTTCAAAAAAATATTAATTTAAGCAACTACTTTATTCAAAAATCATGTTTTGTTTAGCTTTTTCCAACCATCGTTCCATTGATCTCCAAAATCCACTTAATTCTTCGTTATTTTCACGCATTCGATTAAAAATTATTTTCAATGCATCTCTAATATTAATTTCATTATTTAAAGCTTTTATTCCGGGATATCTTGCCTTTATCATGCTAAAAAATTCCTCAATGGGATTTAATTGAGGAGACCATGTCAGCAAATATTCTCTATTTATTCTTAATTCATTTAAAACTTCTATAATACTTCTTGATCTGTGAAATGGAACATTATCCATTATCAGTATATGGTCTGGGTTTTGTCGGACACAGGTTATTTCTTACACAGGTTATTTCTTATAAATCTTTCAAAGCTTTCAGCATTATAAGCTCCAGTTCTTAATTCAGAAGCAACCACACCAGAAATATTTATTGCACACATCAAACTTCGATTTGTATTTCTGTTTCCGGAAACCAATTTATCACTAGAAATACGCGAGATACAGCGGGCATATATGGCCCTTTTTTCAATATTTGCTGGGGAATTTCGTTCTTCGGGAACCAATGAAAGCCTTTTTCGTGTTATATTTATTTTCCGCAATTTCCTTGATACTGTTGATTGAGATATTACCATACTGGTTGCTGCATTAACTTCATTTACCATTTCACTTTGTGTCAGTTCATTATTTATTGCTATCGTATTAAATACGTATTAAATATATCGTATTAAATATATCGTATAAATAAATACGTATTAAATATATCGTATTAACTACATAACCTCCTGGATTCAGGCTGGAATGGAAGCTTTTATTTCTTCGCGTCGGTTTCAAGTCAAGCCTCATTCTACTCCATGGTTTTCTCCTTCTTGTTCGGCTGCTATATCCAATCGTAATCATTTTTTTCATCTTTTTCAAAAGAACAACTCTCTTGAGAACAAACGGCTATTTTTTATTGCAAGAAATCGATGTAAAAAGGTGCTTTCTGATGCTAAACTCCATTATTCTCAGTTCACTAAATCTCGCATCTTATCACAGAAGTTAGGCTCTAAAGACTTTTGGAAAATCTTCAACAGCATTATTAACAAGGGTAGATCTAACATTCCATCTCTCATTCATGGGACTGATCTTATTACCTCTCCCAAGGATAAGGCAGAACTATTTGCAAAGAACTTTTCTTCTAATTCCACTCTTGAATCTTATGGACATTCTCTTCCTTCCATTCCAGTCAAACAGGTTGACCCATTGTTAGACATTCAAATCACTCCGGCTTCTGTTGCTAAAGTCATATCTCAATTAAACTCGTCTACAGCTTGTGGTCCAGACAACATTCCTGTCACAGTCTTGCAGAATTGTTCTCAGAACTTTCTTCAATTCTCTCTAAACTATTTAACAAGTGTTTGACTGAGTCTTGTTTTCCTGCTTGTTGGAAAATGGCATCTGTGGTTCCAATATTCAAAAACTCTGGAGAAAATTCTGACCCCTCCAATTATCATCCGATAAGTCTTCTTTCTGTTATTAGCAAGGTCTTTGAGTCTTTGATCAACAAATTCCTCACATCTCATCTTGAGTCAAATAAACTACTGTCAGACAATCAATACGGTTTTCGATCCTCTCGCTCTACGGCCGACTTGCAAACTGCTGTAACTGAAAGATTTTATTGTGCATTAGATGGAGGCGGTGAGGCTAGGGCTATTGCTCTCGACATATCTAAAGCTTTCGACAAAGTTTGGCATGCTGGTCTTCTCCATAAGCTTGCTTCATATGGTGTTTCTGGGAAAGTTTTTGAGATTATCAAATCATTTCTTTCTAACCGGTTTATTAAAGTCATCCTTGAAGGCCAACACTCTTCTTTATTTCCATTAACTTCTGGGGCTCCCCAAGGTTCCATCCTGGGCCCTGTTTTATTTCTTTTCTACATAAACGATCTTCCTGACAACCTTTCATCTAAAGTAGCTCTTTTTGCTGATGACTCAACTTTATACTCCTGTCTTGACAAAAAGTCTTCTCTTTTCGATCGCCTAGAACAAGCAGCTGATCTTGAATCCGATCTCACTTCAGTAATAGATTGGGGTTCACAATGGCTTGTGAATTTCAACTCTAAAAAAACCCAGTTGCTTACTGCAAACAACTACCGTAATATGGTCAACATTCCTATATTAATGAATGGCAATCCTCTTACTGAGTCGTCCTCTTTACGTCTTCTTGGATTATCGCTTACTACTGACCTTTCATGGAAACCATATATACAATCGATTGCTAAATTAGCTTCTGCTAAGGTTGCTTCTCTTTATTGTGCTTGCCATTTCCTTACTTCTGATACCATTCTCTACCTCTACAAATCTCTTATTCGTCCCTGTATGGAATACTGTTGTCATATTTGGGGTGGTTCTTCTAACGATTCACTTTCTCTTCTTGACAAGGTCCAAAAACGCATTGTAAATGTTGTTGGACCTGGACAATCTGCTAAGCTTGAGCCTCTTTGCCATCGTCGTAAAGTTGCATCTCTTTCTCTTTTCTACAAATACTATCATGGTCACTGCTCAAAGGAATTATCATCTCTAGTGCCATCAGCTAAAATTCATTCTTGTTTTACTTGTCATTCAGCTAAGTCTCATTCGTTTACTGTATCTGTCCCTGCATGCTCTAAAAACTTTTATTCATCTAGTTTTTTTCCCCGCACTTCAATCCTTTGGAACTCTCTCCCATCTTCATGTTTTCCTGACTCATACAACTCACTTGACTCATACAACTCACTTGACTCCTTCAACTTTTCAAGTCTTCTGTCAACCGTTTCCTTGCTCTATAACTCTGTTCTTTTTTTTTCCTAGTAACTCCCAACTTAATAGTGGTTGCTTGCAGCCTTGTTGGGAGTGAATGCAAATAAATAAAAAAAAAAAAAAAAAAAAAAAAAAAAAAAAAAGTATTTTCGATTTTAACTGAACAACTAATTTTTGTTTTTGATTGTTTGCTTGTGGCGTTCTCCCTTAGTAGCAAATTTGATGCCTTCTTGATGATTTCTTATGCAGTTTCTTACAGCACTTTGGCTAATGTTTAAAGTTTCGGCAATGTATTTGGTTGAATGATTATTTATCGAATTAGACATGTTTATAATTGTTTCATGAATTTCCTTAGTTATCGTTATTCGACTTTTTCTTGCCATGTAAGGTTTTAAATTTTTATTTTTTAACATTAATTTAAAAAACTTGCATTAATTAGATAAAGTGTTACTGATTTGTTTTATGTTTTTCAGCCAGTTAGTCATTTAATTTTTAATTACATATTTATTTTACAATTTTTAAAAATATTTAATTACATTAAATATTTTTTTTTGTACCTTCTTTGATAGTGGCTATGCGACTCTTCCTGTTATCTCCTAATAAGGGTACAGCTGGTAAGGTTTCCTGAGCTTTGTGGTACTAACAGTGCTATGTTGCGCATGAATGGTATCCCTATTAATGCTTTTGATGTGGATTGTCAAGGCCACATAAGAAACCCTAAGTCACAACATTACGGGTTAAATTAACTGGACTAAAACAACTATATAACTAATTGCTTAGGAAGCTGTGCTCTATCTATGAATGAGTCAAGTTCACTTAAAACTTAAAAGTCATGCCTAAAGTAACCTAAAATTTTAAACATAAAAAACCATCCCCATCACTTAACTGTTTCCATAAATCTACTTGTACCTTAAAACTGACTAGGATTGTTTTTGTGGTTTACTTTATGGTGGTCCTTGGGCTGATGCCTTTTCTCTCTGCTAATAAATGCACCTCAAATGTAATATTTTGGATCCAGACAGGTATGGAAGCTTTTATTCCTTCTTGTCTGTAAGTAAAGCTTTAATGGACCCAATCTCCTTTTTGTGCAGTTGTTATATCTAATCATAATCATTTTAATCAAAAAGATTATGATTAGATATAACTTTATATGATTAGATAACAACTTTCTTAAGAGCAAACCCCTATTTATTATTGCAAGAAATTGATAGTGAGGTGAAAAAAAAGGTGCTGTTTGATGCTAAGCTCTATTCCCAATTCACTAAATCTTGTATCTTACATCAGAAGTTAGGCCCTAGAAACTTTTGAAAGAACTTTAACAGTGTCAATAGCAAATAAAGTTCTAAGATTTCTTTTTTTATTCATGGAACTGATCTTATTACCTCTCCCAAGGATAAAGCAGAACTATTTGCACAGAACTTTTCTTTTAATTCAACTCTTGAATCTTATGGCCATAGTCTCCCTTTTATTCCAGTAAACAGCTCAACTCATTGTTAGAATTCAAATCACTCCAGCTTCTGTTGCTAAAGTCATATCTCAATTAAACTCTTTTACAGTTTGTGGTCCAGACAACATTCCTGTCATAGCCTTACAAAAGTACTTTCTAGAACTCTCTTCAATTCTCTCTAAATTATTTAATAAATGCTCGAATGAGTCTTGTTTTCCTGCCTGCTGGAAACTGGCATCAGTGGTTCCTAATTTTAAAAACTCTGATGAGCATTCTGATCCCTCTAACTATAGTCCAAACTCTATAACTCCCAAACACAAACCTTGATGGCCTAGACCAATAAGCAGAGAGACAAGGAATTGTGTTCATTCTGGAATTGTGTTCATTAAAATTAATGAATATAAAGAAGTCAAAAAAGAAATTGAAATAAGTAGTGGTGGAAAATAGTGAAAAAGGTGCAAGTTTTTTGTGTACTTTACTTTTTAAAGCAGTTTTTAAAATCTGTAATTTTACTTTTATGTAATGTACATACTGCAATTTTAAGTACTTTTTGTTTTAAGTATTGTACTTCACTAAATTTTAAAGTAAAAAAGTAACCAATGGTAAAAAAAAAAAAAAAAAGAAAAAAATTGTGCATAGGAAATTTTTTCATTTTCCTCTTAATGCAAGATATGACTCAAGTGGACGAGAGTAAGATTTATTAACTTTAAAAACCTGATTATTATCCAACAGTGGCAAAGTTTGGTTTTAATACTTGAAGATTCCTGACCCAATTTAGATTCAATGTTTTGGAGTTAGTCTGACCTTTTAAAGATTGGGAATAGTGATTGTATCTGATAAGATATGTCAAAGTGGTTCAGACATTTAGACCATTAAGACGCTGTAAATATACAGTTACAAACTAACCTTATTAACAAATAAAAAACTTACGATTATTATTGCCCTCGACAACAACTGTTTCTTTTGTAGTTAAATTTCTGTAGAAAGCAAAGTTATGACCATCCAAAGAATACTTAATTTTATACCTAACCCAAGAAAATTAAACTATAATCTTTCATTATATATTAATTGCTATTTTATTTAATATTATCTTACACACCTTTTTATATAGCAATAAAAATTAGGTCGAGCTGTATCTAACCATGTTCCACCTTGTGTAGCAATCTTGTTAATCAAAGCAATGTCAGGCAGTTGTATTTCAAGATATATTAGCTCAATAGAAGTGTCAATTGTCATCCAACTAGCTATGAAAACAAAATAAAACACAAAAGATTATTAATTCAAAATAAGATTTATAACTTTGAAAATGTCAATATTAAAAAAAATTTAATACCCCTTCCATTCAAGCGTGAATAAGCCAAATAGCTATCAGCTGAACTTGTTGAGTGAATATTGCTATCAGGTATATGACGACTTTGCATTCCCAGTTCACTCCAAACAACAATGTCTTTAGGATTTAGCATCATACTTTTGAATGAAAAATACTTTTCTTTTTGAAGCAGCATTATCATATAGCTACCAGCCCGAAGATGAAAAACCTTTAAAAAAAATACAAAAAATTAGTCAGTTAACATTTTGATAACTCATTTTCAATAAGATTAATATTTGTGAAAATTTATATTAGATGTTAGAGAGAATAAAAAGTATTATTTATTCATGGTAGATGTAATATTATAGGTTGGATAATAGTATTAATTATATTTTTAAACTATGTAATTAAAAACTCAAAAAAGCATGAAGATTTGGTCAAAATTTTTATAGTAATTTTTTGATTAATATTTTAATTAATGGGGAGAGTGTGTATGAAAAAGCCAGTTTTAAAAAGGTATGAAAAAAGTCATTTTTGATTAATTAAAAAAAAAAAATTCTTTAATGAAATAGTTACGTTTGGGTAATATAAAATTAAAATAAATTGGATAACAATGCTAATAATCTATCATACACCTATTTTAAAAAAAGAGAGAAATCAGCTCTTTCATAATATCTTGTCAATGAAAGAGCCGCTCTGTGCTATGAAAGAGGCGTAAAGTTTTTTCTAAAACTAACAAGTCTTTTAAGAGTTATAATCTGTTAACTAGACTTCTAAAAATCAGATTGTACTTTAAGTTATATAATTCTATGATAATCAATGATAAAACAAATGACAAAACAGCTTTAATAATAGTTTCACTATATTACTAAAAAAATACATCGCTTTTCGTAGTTAATACTTGAGAAGAAATGTTTTTTTTTTTAAATAAAAAATATTAAATGAGAATAAAAAAAACAAAAGTATTAATATACACTAGCCAAACGTTTATAAAAAAAAATTTATATACACTAGTCAAAAGAACAAATTGTTTCGACTACATCTTGACGATAAATGTTATCTATGAATCATAGTGATTATAAGGTATTTCACATATATTAACTATGCTAGTGATTTATGAGTGAATACAATAATACAAAATAAGTTTTGACAAAATGTGTGGAAGTTTGAAACATAAGTAAATTTTAATTATTAAAAAAAAAAATTATTATTTCAGTTTTAGTAAAAACTTATTATTATTTGAATATATTTTTTAAGATTCCAACGCACCTACGTTTTACGACTTCAGGAAAAGTCATTCTAACAATTAATTTCATTAGAATATTGATCAATGAAGCATTACAAAAAACAATGAGGTCGTTAATGCGTAAAACAGTTATTTAATTTAAAAAAAAACTAAATAGAAAAGGTCGGCTTTTTCATAGCATAAAAAAGTGGCTAATTCAAAAATTGTATGGTAAAAAAAATAACCTGAAATTAAACATTTTTTACCGAAACTTTAATCTAATATTACTTGTGGAAAAGAAGGACACATATATATAACAATGCAGCATAAATGTTTTGTCAAATAATAAAATACTCATATGTTTAAGCTCATGTACAGAAAGAAAAGTTAAGGCAAGATAGCAAACATTTTAAAAACCTGAGTTAAAAATAATTAAGTAAACGCCAAAAAAAAAACTTTTTATTTTCAAAATTTTTAGTGCACCCTTACGACGCTATTTATTTTAGTAGAACTCTAAATATTTTGTGGGTGACAGGTATCCAGCGTTGCCACACAAAAAGTAAAATACAATCATGGTCGGGTGCCAGTAAGTTAGATATAATAGCATCGGCTCTTTCAAAACCTGGCTCTTTCATACACACTCTTCCCTACTATAAAAGAGTAAGTGAGCTCACAAAAATATGCTTTTACTTAGAAGATCAGATGATACTATAATGGATCAGAATGGCCTGCGGAGTTAAATAATTATATTTAGTAAATTTAAAAGCGTCCTACTTCACCACATTAATTTAAGTTATAAAAAACTATAAGTCAACCCTAATCTGCTAATGAACCAGTGACAAATTTTGATTTTGTTATTCTGATAAAAGAAACCAATCATATACATGATGGCTGTGCAACTACCATGGTAGCTTATTTGATCCTAGTTGAAACTTTAAACACGCTCTGGTTTGCAGCAGTAAGTTTTGTGGTAAACTTATAACAAGCTTACTACAAATCTTCTTAAGAATATAATATATTTAAAATTTTTTAAGCACACATTATTTAACATAACTGCACTTTATTTATGCAAAATGTGTAAAAAAATTCTAACTTATTGAATAAACTTCAAGATAGCTTATTGCCTAAAATTGCTAGCACAACTAAGTGATGAATTTATATTTATTTATTTCTAATTTATACATAAAGATCATTTTACCTTGTTAATAGGTAGCCACATGCCAGTCCTTTTATTAAAAGGAGTATCTGCAACCGTTACATCTTCATTAATTTTAACAATTACACTATTGGTGTTGTTACTCATTGCAAAAGTCTCAATCCATAAGTTATACAACCCAGCCTTTATAACTTGTACTTTATATATAGCAATCAAGTCATTGTACACACCATTTGATGTAACATAGGGACCTAATTCATTTTTAATGTCATTTAATGGTATAGATACTGACCATGCAGAACCTGAAAGAGGTTTCTATTAAATATGTAAAAAGTATTATTTACTACAGTCAAACACATAGTTTATAAAACATAAATGTTTTAAAAATGTTTACATAACAATATCTAAACCAATACAAAAAAACATCTCCGAAAGCATACATTTATGCCATTTAAATGTATTTTTTTCTTCTTCTGTTTTTGTATCAATTAAATTTTTTTTGTTTAAATAAAAAGTGTTTACTAAAAGTTTTAAACAAAAATAAAAAAAAAGTCTAAAACTAAAAGTTTTAAACAAAAATAACTAGGATTATTTTACAGATTAAATGTTAAACAAATTGAACAAATTTTTTTTTTTTTTTAACAAAGCTACCAATCAGTAAGTTATTAAATAATTAGAATGAAGAGTTTGAAGATCAAAAAATGATAATGGGGAGCATAAAATAACTCTGCAATATTAAAAAGAGGTTTAAAGTAAAAATTATAAATTCATTTTTTAACAATAAATTACATAAATCTTTTTCAAATTTCATAAATTAACTATGAATTTTGAAAAAGTAAGTCTTCATGCAATTAATAAATTCAACCAATCAGTAGATTTGTTTTCTCAACTAAAAACTGATCCGAACTAATTAAAAAAAATCAATTCAAAGCAAAACTAAATGAAAGTAATTAAATTTATTCACTTAAACAAGTTTTGCTTCCATTTTTCATACTTTTGTTTTAAATATTTTTAAGATTTGAAAAAGTAAAATAACCTTTTAAAAATGGATTAAAAACATCAATAAAGCAAGATGGAAGTGTTTCTTCTTTTTCTTTGCATGCTTCTGCTGTCATCTTAAATTCATCTGGTTTTATACATTTTAATACTATATCAGTAACAGATACTGGATCATTTATAGTGTTTTTTTGCTTTCTATGCACAAACCGAAATCTTTTAATATGATGAAGAATATAACCAATGTTAAGATATCCTGTTAACCAAACATTTGGATTAAAAGATTCAGCATCATTCATTGACCAAACATCTACACAAAAATTAAAAACTATTATTTACTTTTTAATTTATATATATAAAAAAATAATAATAATAACAAAAGTTTTCATGTAGAAGGTTGGAGACAAATTGCTACTGTTTAAAAACTGCTTAAAGCTTGTTTAAATTATAAATTACAAAGAACCAAGAACAAAATTTGAAAAAAGTAATTATTTAAGGGCAGAAGTGCTGGATAGAAATGAAGCTGTATTTATACCTTATATTAATATATACCAATGAGATTTTTTAAATATTGCTAACATAATTTTATATGCATAGATTTGATTTTTGTGCTTAAAAAAAACAATGGATTTGGTTATTGCTAATGGATAGTGTCCTACGGGTATAACTTTTTTAAAGAATCTTTTTGAAATGCGTGTTCATTTTGTGTTATTTTAATTAAAGTAGTTTTAAAACTTTTTAAATTTAAAGATAGAAAACGCATTATAAGTCATCTCCCAAAAGTCACAAAAGACAAATGTAATAACTTTACATTTTTATTTTTATTACTAATTTTTCTAATTGCAGACTGAAAATTCATGCAGACTTTGAATAATAAAGCAAAAGTAAATAAAGACAAATTATTATTGCTTAATAACTAATAGTTTTGCATAAACTCAGGTTTTTAAAATGTTTGCCATCTTGCCTTAACTTTTCTTTCTGTACATGAGCCTAAACAAAACATGTAGTTAAAAAAAGCAGGAGAGTAAAAAAATAAACTGGAAAAAAAGTGGAAACACTACAGAATGAAATTAAAAAGCAAATGAAAACTGAGCAAAGCAAGATGAAATAAAACAAATCAATACAGTTTAATTATCAAAACCTAAAACTTAAACTTAACCAGTTATAAAAATTATATCTATTTCTCAATGATATACTTTATCAAAACATCGAAAAAGTCTAAGCAAATGGCATTAGACCGTGCAAAAAATCATTAAGACGGGCAACTAAACTAGCCCATCAAATGGTTTAAAACTTTTTGGTGCCAGTTATTTACTGTCATCAAAACCTATATACATATATATATATATATATATATATTAAATTTAAAAAAAAGTTACATTAACTTTTGAATGACGTTTATGTAAAAATATTTGTTAGAAAAGTTGGAATGGCAATTATGTTTGATATAACCGCTATTTAACAATGAAAAAATCCCAATAAAATTAAAAGCTTATTTTTTCGTTTTTATTTTATTGTAATGATTGATTTTTTAAGCTTGAAGCAAAAATCATACAAACATAATTTAATTTTGATAAAAAATATGACTTAATTTAAAACTAATTTAATAAAAGTATATAACTTTATTCTGATAAAAAAAAATTAATTTAGATATTAAAAATATATAATTTAATTTTGATTTAAAAAATCTATTTAAGATTATTAAAATTAAAGTTAATGCTTGGGTTTAACTTAACTGTCAAATTTATTTAAAATTATTACCAAATATTATTCAATATTGAAATTTTATTCATTATTAAAAAAATTAGCTCATTTTATTGCAATTGTTTTTTCGGTTTTTCTTCCTAAAAATTTTTTTTAGTCAAAATTAAATTTAAAATAATCGGCTGCATCAAAAATTTGCACAAAACATAAGTTAAACTTTTTTTTTATAATGCAAGTTAAATTGTAGCGATTATTTTTTTAATAAACGATATATACAGCAATATAATAAAACAATAAACTTTTAATAAAGTAGATAAATGTAATTTTTTTATTTGTTACTGGCTAACTTTTTTTAAATAAAAAATAATTTGTAGTTGAAAAGACACAATTAGAAAATTAAGAAATAATTATTTCAAAAATTAAAAAATTGAATATACTTTAATTTATTAATGCAAATGTCAAGAAAAGAAAGAAATTTGTTAATATTAAACATTTTTTTAAATGCAATATTAAATTTAATTATTTGATATTATAAAAAAAATTTAAAAATAAATATTCCCTTACAGTAATAATAAAAAAGCCACTAAATAACATTCAACTTGTTTTGCGGTAATTAATATTATTGCAGCAATTTAAAAAAGCCTTAGATGTCTTTAGAAAATAAAAAAATAAAGAGAATTTAAGACGTCAAATACTACATTAAGCTAATGCATTAAGCATTTTTTATTTAAAACAAGGTCTATATATATATATATATATATATATATATATATATATATATATATATATAAATATATATATATATATATATATATATATATATATATATATATATATATATATATATATATATATATATATATATATATATATATATATATATATATATATATTCTTGCATGGTAGTCACAAAGTTTTTCCCATAAACTGTTGTTTTAAAGAGCGCGTCAATAAGCCTGACCAGAAAATGTTGGAAAACTTCAGAAGAAAATTTTTTTTTAAAAAAATGATAGACTGCCTGCCTAAACCTCAGTTGATGTAGCAGCACTCCCTTGCGAGTCAGGCTATTTGTCAGTCAATGTAGCAGCACTCTTTTGCGAGTCAGGCTATAAGATAGTGGATGTAGATACACTCCCTTGTAGCAGCAGACTATAAGATAGCCAATGTAGCAACACTTACGCATGTTTTAAAAATATTTTTTAATAAAACAAAAACACCACTAATTATAAAAAACTTTCTAGTCATTATTATTGCGTTTTTTTTAAAAAACAATAAAATTTAATGTACTTCTGCATTAATTTAATTGCTTTGACATTTCAAAGACAATAAAATGCAGCTTAAGAGACAAGGTAAAAAAATTGTAGTCGAAGAATATATATATATATATATATATATATATAAATATATATATATATATATATATATATATAAATATATATATATATATATATATATAAATATATATATATATATATAAATATATATATATATATATATAAATATATATATATATATATATATATATATATATATATATATATATATATATATATATATATATATATATATATATATATATATATATATATATATATATATATATATATATATATATATATATATATATATATATATAAGGGCATAATAGAATCTTGATCTGGAAATCGATACCTGCCTGATTTTGCTAAAAACCGATTAATCAGTATCGGCACCAGAACGGCAGACCAATCCAAATAGTAAAAGTAAAAAAAATAAGTAAATAAGTAAATAATCAAAACAAAATATCAAAAGACCAAATCATCAAAAGAACATGTTTTTTGCAAAATAAAGCAGAAAAACTCAAAAAGGATTTATAGAAAAACACCACTCTGCATATATTACTCATTTCATAGTGTTTTATCAAAGTTTAACCTAGTATAAATGTTTAACCTTCTTAATTCTATTTGAGTTTTAAACTTTTAATGATGTCAAAATATAAAGAATATGATTTTTCTTTTATTCAACATCATTCATACTTTAACTAATGTAGCAAATGAAAACAATAGAGTATAGCATAATAACTTAAAACATTTTAATTTAAAAGGAGAGAATTTTACCTGTTTTCCACACATTAAAAGTATTTAAAACATCAATTTGAATATTGCCAAAATATTTTCCAGTTGAATACTTAAACAATAAGATACATCCTGTAGCATCTTTCAACTCAGGACTTGTTAATA